TGGCAATTCCCATGGTGAAAATACCTCCTCTGCGGTCAGTTTCAAGCAACCAAGGTGTGTTACTGAGCACCAAGTGGGAGGAGTTGCCTCCAGTGGAATCTCGGGAGCTGGTGTGAGCTAGTTCCAGCACATCACAATCTCCAACTTCAGATGTCCTTTCACTCCTTAAAAATAGATACAAAGATCTAAATCTATCTTTAAAATATTTGACGGCAAAAACTTTTTTCCTTTGTTTCACAGTTATGCAATCAAAATTAAGTTCAGTTTACATTCATAGTCACTCTGTGATTAAGCAGGTAAGGTCTGAAAACAGCACTAGGGTTCAAAATCTGACTCCTGTACTTTCTCACTCTGTGACGGTGGCCATGTAATTTAAAGTCTGTGTGCATCAATCTTCAAAATAGAAATGATGACAAGGCTTTCATTGCCAATTAATCCTTGATACAAGAAATGTATCTAGAACTCTTCCTGGTTGCCTAGCATATTGTGAATAATGGAATCATGTTGGCTGCGTTTCACGTATGTTTGCAGCTGGCTCAATGATGGCTGAGAGATAATATAATACAGGAAAGGGGTTGTCAAAATGGGTGTTCTATAAGAGGTCAAATACTTTCAGATTTATAGATGTCAATCTAGTTTTGCAGACATAAATAGGGCTTTTACTTATTTAAGAAATGTGATTGTATACTTTTTTTTTCTTTCTCTCTCTGATATGTAAATTTGGCCAGTTTTATTATTTCCTGTCTGTTTTCAGGGCTAAAAAATGTTTTATATATCTGTTCTCAATCACTGTCTGTTATATCTTCTTAAATATATTATTTATATATTTCAAATAGAACTTTAAAGATGTTTCATGGTATTATACTAGTATATCTTTTAGGCTTTCATGTTTTAACTTTTCCTCTATGAAAAAATTGAGGTTTACTCCACCTGTTCAATTTGATCGCTCTCATACGGACAGACAAAGACAGACACACACACACACAGAGACACACACACACACAGACACACACACACACAGAAAATTTGAGTTACTTTGGTCATTCTGCTGTCACAAATTCCTCTATAAATGCCAGCCAGCCACTATTCTAAGGAAATGCATTCACATTGGACAATGAATATCAATAGAAAGCTCAATTTATAGTGCAGTACACTAAGCAATCTAGCTGATTCAAGCACAAAATGCTTGCTACCATATTCTTAATTGACAGAGTTAACTAAGAGAATCAGATATTTATACAAGTAATACAAGGAAATAAACATAAGGAGGGCAGGAGAAAAATGACAAATATAGGTCTCAGAAAAAGTAGCCAGCTTCTAAGTACCCAGAGTTGAAGTTGCATAAATCTCATCCTGTTCTTGTTTGGTAAGAATGACTCCTCTTACGTGAAGAATTCAGGTGATCTGAGCCAGATCCTGGATTATTTTAATATAAATGTCACAATTAACAAGATTCTAAGTGTCTTGGAAATCTTTGCAGATAAAAAAATAAGATCTTAGGGGGCTGGGGATTTAGCTCAGTGGCAAAGTGTCTGCCTGGCAAGCGCAAGGTCGTGAGTTCGGTTCCCGGTACCGGAGAAAAACCAAAAGAAAAAAAAAAAAAAAACAAAAAAAAAAAAAAAAAATAAGATCTGCCCGGAATCACACCAAACTGACATCTACCTTGACATCTCAATCTCTCCTCAAGTTTCTGATTGTTTTGTAATTCCTTAACAGTTATCTCTTCCTCTTTCCACCCTTCAATTGCTGATTCATACAAAACAAAGTATATAGTAGGTTCCACAAACTATACGTGTAATGAATGCATTAAACATGAACTCTTCATTTTATAGTCTAGATTCTCTAGGTAGAAATATTAGGTATTTTCTTGGAAAGACTCTTTTTTTTTTTTGTTTGTTTTTTGTTTTTTGTTTTGGTTTTTCTCCGGTACCGGGAACCAAACTCACGACCTTGCGCTTGCCAGGCAGGCGCTTTTGCCGCTGAGCTAAATCCCCAGCCCCACTTGGAAAGACTCTTGAGGTTGAATGACAACCTAGACCTACAGCAAACTCATTGTTCTCTCTGGGTTATAACCTGAGTGAAAGGAAACACAGACCTCTGAGAAAAACTTTGCCTCCTCTTCAAAATCTTTTTTTTTTTTTTTCCGGTAGCGGAGATTGAACTCAGGACCTTGTGCTTGCCAGGCAGGCGCTTGTGCCACTGAGCTATATCCCCAGCCCCTCAAATACTTTTTTATTGATTTTGGAAAGCACATACCCTAGAGGTGTTTAGGATTAGTAGACTCTCCACATGAGTTGTCTATTGAGTATGAAATTATCTGACTGCAGGTGTTTGGGGCTGTAAGTCCCAGGGGACCGAAGTCATACTACTTAAAGTCAGAATGCAAATAGGGAGAGGATGGAGATCACGTGATCCTAATATCTTACTTGGAAGGACAGAGTATAGGTGTGCTGGTATATGTAAGCAACAGACATGTGGAAAACTCTACCAAATTGCGTTTTTTCCTTCAGCAGAAAAAAAAAAAGACTGAAATAAAAGACTGAAATAATTACCAAAATTAAGTTCTCTCTAGCACTGGAGATTTGAGGGCAGTTAATACTGACATCTTCTCTGATTGGGTTTTTACAAATTATGCTTCATTGTTGAAATGATTATTTTCATTGTTGTCTGATTCATAAGTAAACAAGTAGTAATAAAGCTATTATTACCAGCAGCCTTTTTCTGAAAGATAAGAATAAAAATGTTAAATTTTCAGAGCCAACTCCAAATGGTTCATTGCCTCTGTTTTACCATGGGAAAAATCATTTAATCTCCCAGTGTCAGTTTGCCCATCTATGAAACGAGAAGGATCATATTTTCTTATGGGGATGTTTTGGAAATTATTTTTGCAAATGTAGTGAATGAAATTGTTGCAAGCATCACTAGTCATCTTCCACTTCTTTAAAGAAGCAGACACTATTATTTACGTACCAGTTGACAGTCAAAATGTCATCTGGGCTGAAAGATGTATATTTATAAGTAGTTGTATTATTTTTCTTCTTTTTCTTTTTGTTTTTTTTTTTTTTTGTCCTTTTGAGACAGGGTCTCGCTATGCAGTTCAGGCTGACCTTGAGCTCACTTTGTAGCCCAGGCTGGTCTCGAACTTGCAACGATCCTCCTGCCTCAGCCTCCCGAGTGCTGGGATTATAGGGGTGCACCACCACACCGGGCATTATTTTTCTTTTTACTTAAGAAATCATCCTCCAGATTGCTCCATTTGCATATTACATCTGTACCACAGAAGCTGAGAAAACTGTCTTAAAGCCATTCTGAGCTTCTTATTCATAAGATGCTAATCTGTGGTGATTATTCCTCTCTGTCTCCAGTTCTGTTTTCTCTGATTTTTTTTTTTTTTTGCCTCACCTCTCTTCACAAGATTGATAGCTCTCCATGTTTCCTGCTAGAGGTCACCTTCAAGCTGAAGGCAAAACACAATCCACCCTGGCTCCTGTTGACTTTCAAGTCAACTAAAAAAGAATTTATTCCGGCAACTTCTAACCTCAATTTTAAAACTCCACCCTAAAGATTACAAGGAGATATTCTTGGAGTTGCCATAGTGACTCTAAGAGGTTCGCGCTGAGAAGACCAAGCTCCAGGTATCAGGTTTTTATACTTGATAGGCTTAATTATCTAATGTGGCCATGAACCTCTGTGCTTGTGTCACTGAAGTCTGGAAAGAAAATGTTCCCTTCAGGCTCTTCTGTCTCTTATGGTGCCAATCGACAGGCTTCTTGATAATAAGATTCTTTGTGCCAATAGAGCAAGCAGAACCTCAAGTGGTGCTTGTAGTAATGATAGAATCATTACAAAACTACCTAAGGAAAGGGAAATATATTTCCTGGGTATGATTAAGTCATCATAATGTTCTTGCATATGTAAATTATCTTTCATTTAATGAACTACTCTGCTCCCAGAATGGTGTTTTACCCTGGCTTTAGAAAGTCATTTTTACCCAATTTCTTCATTGTCATCAGACTTACCAGTTTATTGCCAGTAAGGTGTAGATTATTTTTCTGTGATCATAAATTTTGTGTAACGATTAGAAGTGCATTTGTTAAGTAAATTTATTTTAAAATTTACTTTAATAACAGTAAAATTCTTAGGAAGATGAAAACTTGATTTTACATAATAAAGCCACATTAAGGACACTTTAAAAATAGGCATTTCCTTAATTATAAAAGGATATGTATTCACAAGAGAAAAGCAGACAACTACATAAGGGAACAATGAAAAGTACTGCCTGTATCTTCTGGATTAGTGTAATCACTGTAAAATGTCACCCAGGCTGAACACTAACTCCTGGGGCCATTTCTACTTCAACATCTTGGGTAACTACAGCTACAGGAGCATCCCGGTGTGCCTTCCTTCTACAGTATTTTGATAAATATCTTTTAAAAAGATTGAGACTTTTTAAAGAATAGTATATTCTACATACAACTACATTTTATAAGAAGCCCTGGTGAAACACGATTATTTTCAAATTTTATCATAAACTGAAACCAAAATTCTAGTATTTATATTTCACAGGCTTTATTCAGGAATATAAGAACTACAGGAAAGTTTTTTGAGTGTGTTTTGTACCTTCTTTTAGATACTTCAGTTCATCCAAAGTTTTTCATGCCTTATCTTCAGCAATGACCCGACCCCAAAACAAATAATTAATGCAAGGCTAAGAGAAAATAATGATTATGATGTTACTCTTTGAATCTAAATCTTTATGTGTACCAAGGAAGGAAAGAAAGTTTTCTGGAAAATGTAAAGGAGTGAAAAGGACTCTTCATACTATGTCAGTCATGGCATCCTCTAATTAAATATTTTCCATTATTTTTCTGTCTTTTGAAATATATAGTTTTGTTGGTTTAGATTTCGTTTGAATGAGAAGTGAAGTTCCGTATAGATCTTGAGAAGTTAGTGATTCTGTAACATTCATTTAATCAACATTCTTTTTAATCTCCCTGCAGGCAGCCAAGGGCAGTTTCCTCTAACACAGAATGTGACGGTTGTTGAAGGCGGAACTGCAATTTTGACCTGCAGGGTTGATCAAAATGATAACACCTCCCTCCAGTGGTCAAATCCAGCTCAACAGACTCTGTATTTTGATGACAAGAAAGGTGAATACATTTCCTTTTAAATGTTTTAATCATATTCTAAAATATCCTAATTATAATGAATTTATTTTTCTGAGATGATTCAAATTATTCCTTTTGATTGCCAAACTGCTTCTGCTTGTATTTAAACATGTTAAATATTAAAATACTTTGTTTTGCAAGTCATAAACACTAAAGATAACCTATGTCAACTTTTTAATAAAATAAACAGTTCTAATTTTGTTTTAAAAATACTTTTATGCCTTCTCTTGACAATCACATACTAAACATTAGACACTCTCATTCCCATAGCTGTCTTGCCTATAGGTTGAATATTTTTCTCACTCCTGGTATTATAATGTTGTTTTCATTACACTTAATTTTATATATTTGGAATATTCTATTTGATTTTGGAATCCTTAATGATTTTATCATGCACTGGATTGGAAAGTCAAAACCGTAGAAATGATTTCCAGAGTGAGGTTAAGTGTGTCCATGTTTCTAAAACAAGCTGAAACTAAGTAAGAAGAGGTATTTACTTAAAATCAAGTCCAACTTCATTAATGAGTTTGTCCTTCTAATTAGACATAAATAGATTTGATGAGTAAGAAAATGTTTTTAGAGGAGTAGGGAAATTCACTATGTACATTTCAAATGAACAATGAGTAATGTACTCTAAATTTCTAGTGGAAGTGCTGCTTTAAGTAAATTTAAATTATATGGGATGTAAGTAATTATTTTTATCTGCATTATTCAGTGTAGTCTTCATATACATAGATTTCTTTTAAATTTCTGTAGATAACAGTAAAAGAATTTGTAATTAGTTTCATTTGAAGTATTAAAATGCATCCAAATAAACACTGAGGACTGTTACTATTTGCCAAAACGTGAATTCTGTATGTTTTGTGTAGTGGTATATTTTTCACTCTTTAATGTTGTCTAGAACTAAAATGAATTTTTAGTTTGTTTTAAATTGTAAATACATAATGAAAGACTGCTTATACACCTAATTTGTTGATTCAGTGACTATTTACTGAGGACCCCTTCGTACCAAATATTAGAGTGAAGGAACAGAGAGATGAACCATAAGCCTGTATGGGGCAAACAGAAGACGCGAACAATACACAATGGACAAGCAAAATATATGTAAGAGTATGATGGTAGGGAATATGTTAGTCAGCATTCTCAAGAGAGAGAAACACTGATTAGATAGATGCCAGATTAACTAATTTTTATTTAAATTAACTAATTTTTATTTTAAGAAACTGCTCAAGTGGGTTTGGAAACTGGTAGGTTTAAAATTCGCAAGGCAGGGCCAGGGAGATAGCTCAGCAACACAAGTGCCTGCCTGGCAAGTGCAAGGTCCCAAGTTTGATTCCTGGTACCAAAAAAAAAAAAAACATCTGCAGGGCAGACTGGCAGCTAGAGACTCAGGGAAGAGTTTATACTGCAATTCTGGGCGAAGGGCAGTATGCAAGTAGAAATTCCTCTTCCTCAAAGTCCTTGCCCCTTCTCTGCAACCTCCAGGTGACTGACTGAGGTCCACCAACATTACAGGTTTTGCTATATTACTTACCATATTAATTATTATATTACTACATTAATCTCTCCTAAAAATCGCTTCACACTGTCTGAACTAATTTTTCAGCAAACGTCTGAGTAGAGTAGTCCTCTCTGGTGCATGAGGGATACAGTACAAGACACCCACTGAATGTGTGAAACTGCAGGTGAAGCCAATCCCTGCAAACACTGTTCTCTTACACTTCCTGATATTATTTTTACTTGCAGTCAACTACATGTAACTGTGGAGTTCTTTTGTGTGTGTGTGTATGTGTGTGTGTGTGTGTGTGTTTTATTTTTTTGTTTGAATTTCAAAGATAAGAGAATGAAAATATATTAACAAACACATGTACATTTATAAAATAACACATAGACAATACAATTAATACAGAATTTCAGACAGGTGATAGGAAATTAACAATGGTTGTTATAGTATATTATATTAAATTTGAACATATAACCAAATTCATAAATAGCATAACTATATACTATAGAACTCCACATATTGATATCTGACATCAATATCACTATGTTAATTTTAAAATATTGCTTTTCCTACCCTTGCATAAAGTGTAACAGTTTGGTTTCGTAGCATGTTTTGAAAGAAAGGTACCAAGTAACCACTATGAATGTTTTTTTTTAAGTTAGAATTTCTTGTTATCATTCATCCATCCTACAAATACATAAGAACATTCTCCACTTTTTGGTGTGAGACTGGAGATTGAACCCAGAGCCTCTGCTCTGAGCTACATCATTAGCTCCTTATTTTTTTTTTATAATTTTAAGACACCATTTCATTATGTTGCTAAATTGCCCAGGTTAAGATCAAAGTTAACCTGTCTCAGCCTCCCGGAGTGCTGAGATTACAGGCACGTACCACCATAGAACTACATTCTTCACTTTTAACCAATGTTACGCTTTTCAAGGACATCTATGACAGTCATGTTTATAGTAACATCTGCAATGCTGAGGTCAAGTCCTCAGGCACAAATACAAAATCTATATTAACACCTTTGCTTCCTCTTTCAAGAATTCTATAAATTGTCTTGTACAAGAAACCTAAACCTAGAATTGATTTTGAGTACTTCAAAATAATGAAGCCCTCCTGTAGAAAATAGAGCAATCTACAATACAATATTTGTAAAGACTTGGAAATAAAGCAAAATCTTCATTTCTGAGGGATAATTTGGGGGAGAAAAAGCTCATACTGTATTTATGATAGCTTGCAACATATTTTTGTACCTTCACACTGCCATAAAATACCAAATCTGCCTGACTATATTGTTTCTGGAACTATTCACTTGCTTCATTTAATTTTCCTTTTCCAAAGGAGGCCTAGAGCTTATTGCAAGAGGTGTGTGTGTGTATGTGTGTGTGTATGTGCATGTGTATGTGCATATGTGTGTGTGTGTGTGAGTGTGGTTGATAGTAGGTCCCTGATTTTGTTGTTGGGCATTTCCTTCATTTGTTGTGGTGTTTATCATCAATTTTAGTGAAGGAATAAAAAGTGCTGAGTAAGGAAACCCTTCCATGAGTAGCAAACTCCCAAGTCTGTTTCCTCACATGTCTCGAGTGACGCCTCAGAGTAATGGATCTGAGGCCCGTCACGTTCATCAAATGCAAGAGTTTGACAATGGAAACACTTTTAAGGATTCTAGACCACAAGTTTTCCCACACCATCTTTTGTCTAAATTTATCTGTCCGGCCTTCCTCAAACCTAAATTTTGGATAAACAAACAAGCCAAGTAGTGTCAGAGCCTACGTGCATAAACTAAGCCTCAGTTAGAGAAATACAGCAACCCAGGTCTGTTATGCTGTTGACAACCATATAAGAGCAAGAGAGAAAAAGAATGAGTTTTCTGTTCCTAATTATGCAAGCTCTTACAGGTGGCAGCTACAGTTAAAGGCTCTATCTTTAGCTCGACACTTATTTCTGTCTCAGATTTTGTTGCTAGTGACTTTTAGCCTTAGTTACACAATGCAATTACCCGAGGAGCTTTCCAGTTAGACCAGGCATATGCAGCCCTGGAATGTTTTAATTGTATCTCAAATGATTTTGAAATGCGGCTGAGCTTCAGACATTTTAGGTTATGTAAGCCGCTACTGACAAGACTGCTGTACCCCTGAGTCTGAATTTCTGAACTGACTTAGCTTAATGAGCAGAGAGAAAGGAAGGAAGCAAGGAAGCAAGCAAGGGAGGCGTTAAGGAAAGTAGGGTAAGTTTCTCCACACAACAGAGCAAGCATAGCTCACATTGTGAACTTGACTAGTATAGTTCTACAAAGGACCTTTGTGTGAGGATAAGTCAGGAACACTGGTAATACTTGAATCAAAAAATCCTTGTTTATTTGGAATTATTAGGGAAAGAGAAACATGCAGTGACTTAGCAGTTTATGATCAACTGGAAGAGAATTAAGCTGAAACCCTCAAGGGTCTATTAGAGAGGCTATATGTGAATATCCAGTAATATATTCATAGGGAACAGTAGGTGTTACTTGATGGCATTGGCTGAGACAAATCTTATATTGATTATTCTTTTAAAGTAAAGAAAAGCACATAAAATTCAGACTTCTGGTCATCCTAGCAATTTAATGGGATCAGTGGCTTTTTGCCATTGATACATGGAAAAACTGATATCAAGCACTCAAGGAAATTTGTCTAGAAACTTTCTGCGCCTGCTGACTAATAGGGAAGGGATTTGCACCCAGGTACAGCTTTGCTTTCGTTTTAACTGCAATAGCTGAGAATGAAGGCATCTGAGCACCAGGCCACTTAGGTATAACCCCAGGCACCTCTACCATCGATCTCGGACAGCCGCCTTTTTGTTAAAGAGCAGCAGTTTCTTCACAGTTGTTGACGATATACATGGAACAAGACTGACAATTCCATGAAAGCAGCCCTTCCCAAGAGCGCAGCCCATGAAAACAGAAAAGTACTGTACTAGGAGTGCACAACATAAGTTCGTATTAGCAAAACAGAATATATTTAAAAATAAAGAACGCAAAGTTCTAATTAGGGTAATATTCAATAGGAAGAAAAGAAAGTAACTATAATATATAGAAAATGTGACAAGCCTCATTGATTTTGGAAGTTGTTTCTTTTGTTTTGTTTTGTTTTGCTTTTTTTTTTTTGGTTTTTCTCCGGTACCGGGAACTGAACTCACGACCTTGCGCTTGCCAGGCAGGCGCTTTTGCCGCTGAGCTAAATCCCCAGCCCCTGTTTCTTAAAGATATGTCTCACAAAGCAAAAAGCATGGATCTGAAATGATATACAGAAAATAAATCATGTAACATATAGTGCATAAACAGACCTTTCTGCCTATCCCATCTTCTGTTAGGATAAACCCCATCAAAAACCTTGTATCTTTCCATGTTCACCTTCAACTGCAACATTTCTTCCCAGGATTCTTTCTAAAATATTCATTCATTTTTAACATTTTATTCTTCAAGCGCAATATGCACATA